TTCAACACTGGCACTGGACTTGAAGAATTAGATATATCAAACAATCACTTAAGTTATTTGTTTCCATCATCATTCCGCATACACCCACGTTTACGCGACATACGTGCTGCTAATAATAAATTTAGCTTCTTCCCAGCTGAACTGATATCAACGCTGCAGTATCTAGAACACATTGATTTATCTCAAAATCAATTGAAAACGATTGAAGAATTGGATTTTGCACGTTTACCGCGTCTGCGTGTACTTCTGGTGGCACACAATCAATTGGATATGCTAAGCGAAATGGCTTTCCACAATTCTACACAGTTGCAAGTCGTTGACTTATCTTACAATAATTTAGATCGTATAGGCGAACGCACTTTTGAGGGTCTAGTGCGTTTGGAGTTATTAAATCTAGAGGGTAACAAATTAAATGAACTTTCCGATTCTGTTTTTGAGCGTTCAAAATTACAAATGCTAGAAAGTATAAATCTTGCATACAATAAATTTGATTATGCACCATTAAATGCTTTGCAACGCCAATACTTCTTCGTTTCTTCAGTAGATTTAAGTCATAATATGATCAAAACCATACCAGGGGATGATAGTATTATGGTGAATATCAAACATCTTGATTTGTCCTACAACCCACTGTCTGATATAGCAGTACATAATATACTGAATGAACCGAAAACAGTACGCGAACTAAATTTAGCAGCAACTGGCATTGAACACTTGGAAGCGCTAGAAACTCCATTTTTACAATACCTCAACTTGTCTGCAAACAAATTGCAATCTATTGATCCAGATGTGTTTCAACGTGCTACTTTACTGGAATCATTAGATTTATCTAGCAATCAATTAGAAAAACTTAGTGAACTGGCACCTGCATGGTCAAACTTAAATGTACTACAGAATTTGGATCTTTCAAACAATAGTTTCGAAGTGATAGCACAAGGTGACTTAGAAAATTTGAATTCACTCCAAACACTACATCTTAATCACCTACAAAATTGCAACCGCATAGAAAAAAATGCTTTCAAGCACACACCAAATTTGGCGAACTTGGAAGCTTTTGATTTACCTCTGTTAGGTTATTTGGATCTACAAGGTATTTTAGAGTTATTGCCAGGCTTAGAAACCATTGACTTAGAAGTTAAAGATTCAACTATAGGCACTGAACAAATACAACCGGCCAAACATCCACGTCTGAAATCAATCGGCATACGTGGTGATCGTCTGAAGACAATATCTTCAGGTAGTTTAGCAGGACTAAAAAGTAGTGATTTAACCATAAAACTGCAAAACACATCACTGAATGCTTTACCGCCAGCATTACTGTTCCCGGTACCACGGTCAGCACATTTAACACTTGATATTGAGGGGTCTAAGGTAACAGTATTATTACCACAATTTCTAAATGCACTTGAAGATCGTCGTTCCAGTTTGCAACTAAAAGGTCTTTCTACAAATCCAATACATTGCGATTGCAATGCTCGTGCATTAAGGCGTTGGTTACCAAATTCTCATATGCTTGATGTAAAATGTCACAGTCCAGCCTATTTGGCAGGCAAAAAATTAATAGAAGTCGGTGATGATGAACTAACATGTGATCCACGTAAAATGACTACAACTACACAACGTCCTACGTCTCAACATATGTTAAAATCGTCATCACGCTTGGTGACACGCACAACAACAACTGAAGAACCGATGATTATTTGGAGTTTAGAACCCACACAGCCACCACCTATGAAAATTAAAACCAAAGCCCCACTCATGAAAGCGCCTATTATTAGCAATGATGATACTCTTATAATTGGAATTGTGGGCGGTGTTGTAGCTTTCATTGCCATACTTATTATTATCATTTGCATTGTGCGGCTACGCATGAGTAATGTAGAATATCATAACGCAGGCCCACCAATGATAGGTATACCGCCATTGCCATTAGGCCCTGGCAGTGTACCACTTAGTTACAAAGGTGCTCCCCCCGCAACTGCTCTGTATGCTGTGCCACCTTATGCGGCACAGAGCTACGCTACACTGCCTCATAAAGCTGCGTCAATACATCAGTCCACACAAAATCTAAATCAACGACAGGCGCAACAGGCGCAAGCAACCTATTCGACCATGTCACGTATGTCATACTTTGGTGGCAGCCAGCAACAACAACAACAACAATCATCATCACAAAACGGCAATCAACCATATATAATATATGCAGACGATAAGGCCTATAGATAAACTTGAGAGGAGGTTGCGACGTGCGCGTACTAGGATTAATCGCACTTACAGTCAGTTGCGTAACATTTACGTGACATTAAAATTTAATTAAATAACAAAAAATAAATAAATAAAAAATTAATTAATATGCACAAGACTACTTAACAAGAAGAGTTGTAAACTCTAAAATTAAGTTAAGTACACTTATGATTTGAATATAAAATTAGACTTCAAGAAATTGCAAAATACTGGAATGTATTGTTATATTATGTCCATTTGTAAATAATGTTTAAGATTTAGTTAATTCGTACTAATCATAATAAGTTTAAAAAATTTCGTTATTACAAGAATGCAATGCGAAATTTCTAGTTTTTATTTAATTATTTATAAGTTAATTTGTAAATTTTATGAGGAGTTCAATTATAATTAATAAAAATATAAATTAAATATTATTTATCTTAACTGTGTTCTCTTAGAGATTTCGCAAATTTATGTAGAAGTATTATATTGATCCTAGAAATCCATTTAGGCTTGTATGTCCATTGTATTGCCATAAAAATCTCAATATTATTTCGAGTGTTTAATGTAAAAGAAAATGCCTCTCAAGGGGAAGTATTCTGAGTTATATTTAAGCTGATATGAACCACAACCATTTTTTAGAATAGGTTCGGCTATACTAGCATGATCATGAACACTAACAAAAATTTATTTTTAATTAATGTGGGAAGAATAAAAATCTCTTTTAGTATCACAATTAACATAAATTCTATAAAACATTACTGTATTAATTAAAGCATTTTTCCACTATCCTTACTAGCAGTAAAACTCCAAGAGTTTAATATAACAGATTCAGTCTATCCTAAGAGTTTCATGCCACATCGATTCGTATTATCTCACAGATCATATTTCTACGACAAAGTTGAGTATCGAGTAGCGAATCAAGCTACCTTATGACTACAGTATTTTTCAAACCAACGTTTTCGTTGTACGGAAAGTCACAGAGCCAATAGAATTTAACTCCAAGATAAACATCTATCTAAAGGTCCGAAAAGCAACTAAGTTAATAATCTCATATTATACATAAAAATGTTGTAAAATGCAGGGACCTCATAAAAAGTAGGGAAGAGATTATAATGTATAAAATGGATTAAAAAAGATGGCTGAACACCATCGTAAGCAGTAATCTCATATCATATTACGAGTTTGTCCAAAAATGTGTTAAGAAGTACGAAGCTATGGAAAGTATGACAGAACAGGAAATTGCAAATAGATAGCTCCATACCTATTGAGTACTATTAAGTGTAAAAGTCATTAAAATAATCGAAATATTAAGTGAGCTTTTTAAAAAAAGCTATTCGGCTGTCAGAGAAATGTCAGAGATTGTAGAGTTATCTTAATTCTGGCTTGGTAAACTAATAGCGATACACGCATACAAGATAAAAGCTAAAAATAGTGAAGAATGCGGGATTTGTAAAAAGCTGAGATAAAAGAAAAATTTAAAACATCTCCATTGGTTATGTCTTCACATAAAATTATTGGGAAATGCATGATTTTAATAGTTTAGGCACGGCGTTGGTGTGGAACTTTAAGGACTTCTTAGTTTCGCGAAAAGGTCTATCTCATATCACTAGCAACCAATAACTGTATGTGTGGCTTACGGTAAGTTACATTTACCTAAACTCAACTATATAATCTACATCTAACTAATTTTCAGTTCTACAAATATTATTACAAATCAGAGTTCGGAATGTGGTCCACAAAATCGCACACTGCACTGTGCGAGTGGAAATTATTTTTAAAATATGCACACGCACATTTGTGGTGTTAAGAAAAAAAATGCACGCACTCAAATTTGTTGTGCGATTTTAAATTTCACATCGCACAAAGCGATGATTGTGCACACAGATTCGTGCACACACATTTGTGCTGTGTGACTGATTTTTAAAAATGTGCACAATCAGATGTGCGAGAAAATTTTATGCTCGCACCGCACTGTGTGACAAAAAATTCTCTTTGCACACGAGTGTGCTGCTCATATTACGTTTGCACAAATGTGCACAAATGTGCGACTGCACAAACGTGCACAAATGTGCACAAATGTGCGATGCACAAACGTGCACAAATGTGCGATTTTGCGCTTGCACCCAAGGGTGGAAAAAATTACAGGAACTTCACAATTTTGTTTGAAATAGAAAATATTATTTTGTTGCAAATTTTGAAAAAATTGATATTTGCGTTCGTTGGGATCGTAATTTATGTTAAAAATTGCATAAATTAACAAATATTTAAAATAATTATTTTTGTTAATTAATGTAAACTAAAAATTATAACTGTCTTAACCTTATTTGTATTTTAACTTAAAATATTAGTTTTTTGTATATTACTTTGAGCATTTTTAAATGCAAATATAGTAAGTGAACTTAAAGTATTTGTTTGGAAAGTTTTGCACCAGTTTAAAAAAAATAAAAACATATTTTAGGAAGATTTTTTTATGCCCAAAAAATATGAAAGATTAGGAAAATATTTTTTTTGAACAGGTAGCAGGTATTGGTATTGGTGTATTTGTTTAATAAATTTTGCAACAGTTTAAAAAAGATAATACGGGAGGGCCACAAATAGGTATTTTTCTTCTCCAGAAATATGTATTCACTTAGGTAGAGTATCTAACATTCATTAAAAAACGCGAAAGATTAAGAAAATATTTTCTTGAACAGGTAGCAGGATTTTAGCGCCCTTTCTACTGTGCTAAGTAAGCAGAGATATAATTTAAGTGAAAAAATTATTTCAGCAATGTTATTAATAAGATTAAATGAAAATTTATTTCAAAAAATATGTAATAAAAATTATATATTTTTTAATAAGAAATTAAAATATTAAATTATTAAATTATTTCAATAACTTTGTAAAATTTAAACTGTAATTAAAGATAAAAAATTAAGTGAAATCTAATAACAAAATTAATTTATGTTGTTGTAAAAAATATTTAATTTGCTTTTTATAACCTTACTAACGAATCTTAGTGTACAACTTACTATTAAATAAAATTTTATGAAGTAGTCCAAAATTGATATATTTAATTTTTTCAAAGTACGATCCGTAGAACCGATCCTCTTTACTTATAACATTTCGAAACAAATACTCTTTCTCTATTAAATTCATGTACCTATTGAATATAACAAAGTTTTCAAGTACATTGTGAAATTAACTTTATTCCCATATTTTAAATTAATAAACCTTAAAAAAATAAGTAATATAAGCAATAAATGTAAATCTAATAATAAATTCAAAATTAAAATATAAATACAAAATTATTTCTTCAATAAAATATTTCGCATTAAGACCAAAATTAATACAAATCAGTTTTCCGTACTATTTTGCTGCGATATTTGTCATAATATTGTGCGCTTTTAAATCATAATTTTACACAAACGTGCAGTAGACATTTCGTCTCCGCACATTTGGGTGCATTTTTATTTTCGAGCCTGCACACAAAATGTGCTTCTCGTATTCTTTTCTGCACACGTTGTGTGCGAGGGCAAGTTGGCTGCCGCACACACAATGTGCTGTGCGAAATAACTTCGGCACAAACAACGAATGCGTGTGCGAGTTTTATTTCACTCCACCACACTCGTGTGAAATGTGCGTTTCGTTTGTGCACACAAGATGTGCACTTAAGATGTGCACAAAAATTTTCGCACACCACATTTGTGGTGTGAAATTTTAGAATCGCACAACATTTGTGCGTGGTGTTTTGCATTTTTGTGCACAGCACAGTGTTTTTCTGAACCCTGTTACAAATATACCATAAAATATACTGGAATATATAAATACACAGTATATAAATATACTGTGTTTATTGATTTCTCAGTGGTTTTTGGTTAATTTAACGCTTTGAAACTCAAATCTACAACTCATTTTTCTTATAGACGTTTGGGTCGCTGGCAATCATTGACTGCAGTTCAAAAATTGACATTTTTAAAAGTCAACAAATGAAAATTTCTTTTATTTAAACAGATACGAATTCAACGCAAACTTGCTTCTTTATCTTAGAATCCTTCTCAAAATTTCAGTCCTTCCTGCCCTAAATAAATATTTTTCACATATTTCTAAAAATCATCCTGTAGGTAGAAATCGTAACCCTACTTTATTTTAATTTTATAAAATTGATGGAGAGATTTTTCGAACAGTAGTGAACTACAACAACAAAAATTTGTTTTATATTATTAGTTAATTAGTTAAATTTTTGGCTGACCATACAGCTGTTTCGAGTATTGCCAAATACCCATCATCAGAGTTCTTGGAAATAATTTATTTAAATATTCGTAAATAATTTTTTGTGACTACAAGTACCAGGAATTGAACTCGTATCCTGCCAAATTTGAAGATCAGAGTCAGCGTTTATTAGTCGTCTGACCCAAAGTCGTACTTGAAATTTTTCACACATTTTGCTGGAGTTTTGTTAATTTGCTGTAAAAGTTTATTAACAAATTCACTTGCTGTGTTTATATTAGAACGAAATCATAAACCAGCTGTAGAATAATTGAATTACTAAATAATATTTTTATTTTTTTAATTGTTAAATTGATTTGTCATTTTAATCACACGTGTTTATTTGGCAATCAATCGAATTCTAGTACATTTTAAAACAAGTGATAATTGAAGTTTCGAATAATTTCACTTCTTTTACACTCTATTAACTCTATTGAATCTATAAGCACTTTATAATCAAAAAATTGTTAATTAAACTTTTTATTAATACCAGTTTTTTGAAAAAATTTAATTAAAAATTAGAATTATACAAAAAATTATTAAGAAATTACCTTTATAGATCTAAAAGTTTTATTATAATTAGCAGAAAATAACGAACTAAACAATAAAATCATTATCAATCATTAAAATGATGTGCTAACGAATTCCTTTTTAATGGACAATAAAAAAAATGGTTTTTTATAATAATTAAATATATTTACTTTATTAAATATTTAATTTGTGACTTTTAAATCTTTATATTTAATATATAGAAATGCATACAATTTATTATTTATAAAAATTCAACAAAATTACTTTCTAATCTGTTTTTGTTATTTAAATAGCAATAATTGAATATAATAATTAAACATTTACAAACAACAGTCTTTCTTAGATTGATTTTAAAATTAAAACTTAATTCTTGTAGGATCCACAATGGATATTTTAAACTTTATAATATAAAAAATTAAAACAAGTAACATTTAACAAATACTTATATATATTAAAAAGTCTTAGGTTTAAAACTTAAACAAGCACTCTACGGCATATATAAATATATAATTAGAATCAGTAAATTACTTCAAAAATAGTTAATAAATCTTGAGACCACTTGTATGTGCAAAATTGAAGGAAGTGTGAATCACCTAGTACAAAGGAAAATATTAATATCATATAGAGGAAATAAGCTTATAATAAAACAGTCCAAACATTTATAAATTATCTCTAAACTTAAATTTAAGCGAATATCTGCTACAAAATTTCAATTAAATGCATGCAATTTATTTATTTTTTTTATATATATAAATATTCTTATATTAAAATTTACATTAAAGTGAATTAAAAAAAGTGCTTATTAAAATATAATTAAATGAGAGCTATGCAAATTGAGATGCCTTCAAAATTAACAACTCCTTAGATACACCTTGAATTAAAGATCATCCTCATTCTAGGCAACCTGCGAGTATGAATAATTTCCAAAACTTCGGCGTCGCGAATATAGCATAACAAAATAAGAGAGAAATAATGTCAACGTTATAATAGCCACTAGTATACCTAAAAGAAAAATAGACTTAGTTCCTTTTGCAAACATTTTGCAAAATTAGTATATCGCACCCATAGCAACACCAACATTAGCCTCCTCATAATCCAATAGCAATGCAGATAATTTGCATTCTTCTTTCCAATTATCTGGTATTATATCTTTGTATAATGAAAACATCTTCTCTAATGGACATTCAGTACCACAGCCTGGTAAATTCAACAAATATGGTTCCATATCAGTTGTCGAGTTTTTATATAAAACTGACACAAAAGGTTTCCGTTGATCATCAACGCGTAGTTCTATTAAAACACAAGCAGTATATGTTGGACTGTGCATCTGTTAAAAATATATAAAGAATTAATTGATAATGAAAACAGCAAATAGTAAAAAATTTTAATAATGAATAATTTAAAAAATTTTAAATGGAACTCACATCATACACCTTTAGAGTATTCAAAACATTAGCCACAGTCGTATCATGAGCACTATATATCCAAACTGAACGATCCGGATCAAGTTTACCACGTAATTTATCCAAGAAACGCAAGAGTATTTCTTTAATAAGTGGTCCAGTTTTTAAACGAGCCATTTGTCTTGTGTAGGTGCCAATAGCAAAAGTAAGATCAGATATATACATCATTTCTTTACCGGGAAATACTTCTTTGGTCCATTCCGGTAACGTACGATTATAGAGACTTTCAATATAAAGTGTATTATTAATACGTTGTACGCCCTCTAATGAATCTATAATACGTCCTGTATATTTAGTAAGATAATTAAAAAGATATCCGTAACGATCATTTAATTCTTGAAATTTTGGTGAATTAAGTAACGCCGATAATGCATAGTCATATGCTGGACAAGATGCTTTTCCAGCCAAAACCTACAATATTAAATTCAAAATTTTAAAATAAATTTTTAATAATTATACTTTAAATGATAGCTACTTCATCAAATTGTTCCGGTGTTGTGTGCACAGGTATTGGTTGCCATGATATGTCCTTATTCCAGATTTGACTATCGGTTGGTGGGTATAAACCAGCTAAATTTGATAATGCGCTCATCATTGTGCGATCTACATCAGTAGCACGTATGTAAATTTCATCTTTGGTATAAGTAATATTTAGTATAGAGTTGTATCGTTTTCGTAACCACTGACCAAGATGATAGTGTTGTTGCATCCCAATCTAAAATAAAATAGAAATATATATTTTTAAAGTAATATTTAAAAAAATATTATAGATATTAATAATATCGATGTTCTTAGTCTTAGTTGTTCTAACTATAATATTATGAAGAGTGTTTGACATATACAGAATAGCAGAATAATAAAATAGAAATTGATACGCTTTTAAACTCCCAATTTAGCTAAGCAATGCGACAACAATAGAACCAAATCTATTAAGAACCAAATCTAACAAAATAGAAGGTATTCAATCCTACGCATTAAGGTTAGAATAAATTTCGATGATTAATTTCTAATCTCGTGCTGAATTTAAAGCCACCGGCTCAGTATTCTTTACTTAGCTCAGATCAAATTCAGACAGTCATAAAGAATCTAAGAAGTCTCTTCTCCTTTGAGACAGAGGCGATATTCTCTCACCTGTTGAAAGGTGACAGAATATCGTCATACTCTCTTTTTAGTTGCAAGGATCAATCAGCAGTAAATTATCCAAAGCATCTGCTATGTATATGTATCATTTACATATAACGCTTTTTTTTAACAAAAATTAATAGAACAATGTATTTTTATATAACAAAAAATTAAATAATATCACTTAGGTTGACCATATTTTTCCTTGTTTGAACTCTAATCCTGTAATGTGTTCTCCTATCTATTCTCTCTTCTTTGTTTTCTTACCCCATCATTTTTTCATGATTAAGACTAAAGTGATCGTTTTTATATAATATATATTAACCCTAATATAATATATATTAACCGAAATCCTAAATTTATACGATTATGCAAATTATCTACTTTAGTCAAGCATTCGAAAATTGTGATATTATTCTATATGATAGGAAACAATGTAACAGTTTGCTGAAAAATAAAATGAGCTCTACAACAAAAGGATTTACAAATTTTGATGTACTCTAATTTATTTATTAAAATACACTGAAGAGTCTTCCAACAGATTCCTTTTAGGTGAACAAGAACCTTCCGGGTGAACGAGCTACCTTCGCGAGTACACGAGCATCCTTTTGCGGGTACACGAGCACCGTTCACGGATACACGAGCACCCTACGAGAATACACGTGGACTCTTCTCAGGTAGGCGAGCATTCTTTTCGGGTGAACGAGAACTTTTCTCGGGCGGACGAGCACCCTTCTCAAATGGACGAGCACGCTTTCCGAGTGGAAAAGTACCCTTCTTGAGTGTACCCTTCTCGGTTGCACGAGAACTTTTCTTGGGTGGACGAGTTCCTTTCTTAAATGGACGAACACGCTTTCCGAGTGGACGAGTACCCCTCTTGCGTGAACGCGATCCTCTATCGAGTGAACGAAAACCCTTCACCACGCTTCCCGGGTGAACCAATTTTCTAAAACAATTTTTTTTTATCATTATTTGAAATAACTTCACCCGTTTTGACCTTACGAAATCTCACTGTATCTGGCTCAAAAGAGTTTTCACTGTACTTGTATAAAATAAAAGTGTGTAAGTATAAAATATATAGCAGATTATATTGTTATTTAAAATATATTTTAAATATTTATATTTATATTGTATATATTTATGTTTTATATTTATATTTATATACACATTTATATATATATTTTTTTCAGTGTATTTTGAAAACATATTTGTTATCTCAAAAAAAATGTTTAATGCATTTAGAATGATATATAAGCATATAAAAGAACTTTCATTTTTGATGACACCGTAAATTTCAGATATTTTAGGAAAATCCACAAAAAAAAATTTTGCTTCAATTACATTTTTTATCTAGCAATTTAAGTTGAATACAAAAATAAATAATAAAAATATTTTATAATGTTCTACTTTGTTGCTCTAAATATTTTATTTATTTAAAAATATTATTTACTCGTAGGTGTTCGTTGAGTATTTTGCAAAATTATCTAGTTAAATTAAAAAATGTATAATTGGAGCAGTTCAAATTTCAGCTAATTATTGAGATATTTGATATATTTTTGGGAATACGTATTCCAAATTAACTAAATATGTGTACTAAACAAATTAGGTACCTTGACTTTGAACAGTTTTTTTATTAACTATTTTATATCTCAGAACAGCTAAACAATCAAACAAACAAATTTTATTTGAATATGGCGCTGAAGACAGATACGGAAATTTAAATAGTTCAGGTTATATATAGGTACTATATTTTGATTAAACAAAGTTCTCTGTTAATTTTAGCGATTTATTGTTTAGTGTTTTTATTTATGAGAAAATATTTAAATGTGCTTCATCTTTCAAGGTTCGAAAGTCTATTTAGTACCTAAACTTGTTTAACAATCTTTCTCCAATGATATCTATTTATTCTTATTTATATCCAAGTGTGTGTCCGCAATGTTCTCAAGTCAATTTTAACTTTATAGATTTGTATCTTTCTTTGGTGTTCTCTTTTATATATTCCAAGATTTCATATTCGAATAGCTTTTACTACTTTCTTTCGATAGACGTTCTGATTCTGTACAACATCTACTGTAGTATTTATTTTTTTGTAAAACACTATTGTTATTATGTCACTATATAATCAGTATATCTCGTGATTATAGTGTCCAGTATAAAAACCTTTCCCTTGAATAATCTGAAATATGCTTCAAATCACTTCTTGCTCGAATACAACAGACATGTTTATTTCGTTTCCCTCTTTTTACGACATATTATATTTACTCCAATATGTAGCTACCAACATATGTGACTTTATAACATTATATATTTTCAATTTGATTTTCTATTAGGATCTTTGAAGTTTTCAGGGTCTTTATAAACCATAGAAACTTATGATGGATGTTTCGATTCTATCCTCAATGGCTGTTTTGGTTAAAAGCCTTAAAATATACCTCCAGGTATTTAAAACTTTTAACACCTTCAAATGTTATGTTGTTTAATATAATGTTAGATGGTGTCGGACTTATTGGTGCTATAGCAATATATTATTTATTTGCATATCAACTTTGCTTGTCTTAAATTATATTTTCTGGTACAGTTGAATCAATTAATAAATATTTAATATAAATAATTATTGTATATGTTTAAGAGAATAAAAGAAAAAAAAAGGTGCCTCAAAATAAGAAAAAAATCAAACCATTACTTTTTATTTCTCCATGAATGGAATATAATGGATTTTGCTTTTAAAATAGCAGAACCTTTCGATTCTTCATTATCAAATTTGCTTTTATAAAACTTGTCTTAAATATTATTTTCTCATTGTAAACAAATGATGTACGTATTTAATAATATTTAGTAACTTACTAGTTGTAACTAGTTATTTTGAGTTTTGCAAACGTTATCTTTTTAATAGGTTCTAATTCACGTAACAATCTATTTAAAAATAAAACACTTCGCATTAAATACAATATATACATATATAGTATTTTTAATTTTGCTAAACAATTTTGCTAAACATTTATAAACAACTGAAATAATTTACTCAATTATTTACTCAATTAATTTCCGAACGTGGTTACTTTTCATAACTTTTTTTAAAATATATGCATTCTTAAAAATATTAATTTGAACAGTCAATGAACTTAATTAATCTTCATTAATCTAGGATTTTTGCGTGACAAATACATATAGCCAAAATGTAGCCTAAAATGCAACCTTTCAAATACATGTTCCTTTGACATATCGTATTTTAGCGTTGCTAGATATATGGGTACCAACAGCATTTAGAGACAAAAAATTCTGTATACCTACCAATATCACTTAATGTATCTTTAATTAGTAGCAGTATCAGAGGTTGGTGGTTGATTAACTAAAACTAATATTGGTATCACAAAGGACTCGTAGAGTGTAAATGAGTTGGTCAAACAAACCCACTACCATTTTAACCTAACCTAACATAACTAAGTGAACTCCGTTGGAGCTAGCAATTCTTTCCCGTTAAGTAAGCTTTGAATTTAAAATAACCTACTTTGTATGAAAAATCTTAACTAACAACATTGTACTGTTAAGAGAGATACCCGTTTATATGAATATTTATTTAACAGAGATTGCACTGTGTAAAGAACTTTCTATCGTAGGCTACAAACACACCTCCACTTAGAAATACTGAACCAATTAAATATATTTCAACATTAATTAATAAAGTTGTTTATATGTGTAAAGACAACTTTCCTAAATTAAATGAAAGGGATTTTTTTTTCATACAAAATATATGAAATTAAAATAATCGCTTTCGTCATTCTTGGAAAAATACTGATAATAATTATAGGTTCTGCACGAATTAATCAGTCAATAGCACACAAAAAATACCTTAGATAAACGTTATTATTCACGTAGCTTATATCTGCTATGTGAATGTATATACTAACAAAGAGGTTCAAAACATTGGGTTATCTAGTTAATTCCACACAACCATCTATAGTAATAAACCACTTCTAGCAAGAGGGACTGCATCGTAAAATCGTTATCATTCAATGTTTATTAGAACAAAAGTTCGCTTATAAAAACTATTAACAGATTTGCCTTAAAAGCATATGCAGCAAAAATAAATAAACAAATACAATCTATTATTAACGTTTTTAATAATAACTAAATGCAAACTATAAATAGCAATGAAAATAATTTACGCTAATTTGATAAGAATTAATAGGCAATCATTAGATACAAAATGCTAATCAGTGAAGAAGTGCGTTGATCCGAACACTTGCAATGTTTGTTTTTATTGACAAAATAAATTGATTTTTTTAATGGCTTTTGTACTCACAGTACTGCCCGAAATACCGCTGGAACTACTAAGCATGACAGCCCCATATAATTGCCTTATTAATGAATATTTATCGCGTGTTAGAGCCGCCGCTTATGGTTTTTGTGGCGTTGTGTCGTTTAATTTAAAATGTATAAATGTGAATAATTTTTATTAACACGTGTGTAAATAGAGATAAATTATTGTGTGAATCGCGTTTTAGTAAAAAAATTGAAAACATTACTTAACGCTGGTTAGCTTAATTAAATTCATCAAATTAATTAAAATGTTTACTTATATGATAAATAATT